CAGTCAGCAGTGCGCTACACTGGAGGGCAAAATGAGAGGGTGGGGCCGCCGCGGAACGCAGGCCGCACGCAGTGCTGAGCCGTCACCGCGCGCTGACACCTCCAAACTCGCCGTTTTTATCTTGTTTTACTTTTTTTCGGAACGCGGATTTAGCCCCGGAAATGTTTCTTGTCGCGGCGGTGGCCGTCCGGGGGGAGCAGCCCCCCGCGCGGCCCAAACCGCCCGAACCACCGCGCCGCGCCCCTCGCCCTTCCGAGGGCCCCGCGGGGGGCAGCAGTGTGTCTTATCAAGTGGGACTGGACCGGCAGCGGGCCAAGGCGCGCCCCGCCCCGCCCCGCCCCGCCCCGCCCCGCCCCGCCCGCAACAAGTGAGCACGCAGAGCGTCGCAGGGCAGCGCGCCTCGCCTTGCCGTATTACGCAGCCCAGATTTTAACCCCGGCTGGCTTCACGCCGGGACGGGCACGCCGGGCACGGCGCCCTAACGCGAAGGGTGGCGAAGGGAGGGGGGCTCACTCGGAAAGGGAGCCCTTCCGTTATCACTGCGCGGAAAGGAAAAGGAGGGAGGGGCTGGATAAAGAAGTTGACGGTCCAGGGACTCGGTCCAGGGATCCTGGGCTTGGGACCCGGCCGAGGGGCTCTACGCGGCGCGCGGCCCGGTGCGTCCACTGGGGCCCTAGTCGCGCCCTGGCTCCGCGCTCCGGCCGCCTAACCACCGCCAGACAAGCGCACCAAAACAAAACGACGCAAATGGCGCGGGCCGCCCGTAATCCGAGCCGTCCGAGCGGGGAACGCCAAAAACAACAACAAATAATCAAGCGAGTGTTCCGGGCGGGCCCGTCCGATAAACAACAACAACAAGCTTTCCAAAAGCAGCCGACAAACGCTGGCAGCCCAGCCCCAGTCGGTTTGCAATCATTGGTGACCCAGTCCCGCCCTGCCGCGCCCTGCCGTGCCGCCTCGCAGGAGGCCGACTCGGCCAGGTGGCACCCCTACAGTCGGTCCCACAGGCCGAGCGGCCACCCTAGCGGAGGGCATAAGGGATGCGCATCGGATAGTAGTGGCAGGGCGGGGCGCGGCCAAACCCGGCCAGCACGCCGAAAGGTCGCACGCCACATAGCACGCAGGGCGGGGCGGGGCGGGGCGGGGCGGGGCGCCAGCCGGCCAGCAATGCGGGGCACCACGCGCCCGCCAGTTCAACGCCCCCGCCGTCATCTCAGGCCCGCAGCCCCGCGGGCCGGGCGGACGGCGGGGACGGGGACCGCACCTGGGCGTCGCGCGTCGCAGTCGCACCGCCGGCGGCACTGCGGTGTACCCTGCACTGTCCCGGGGGCAGAGTCGCGGTGTCGCACAGTGAGTGCGCTGGGCCGGACTGGGTCAAGCGGCGATAAAAGCAACGCGTTCGACAGGACAGCTCCGCCCCGCGCCGCCACACCGCGGCAGGCAGGCAGGCAGGCAGCATGGCCCTGTCCTGTCGATACCGCCGATGCTGTAAACCTCCACCGCGCGGCGCGCAGCGCGCACTGCGAGCGGATTCAAAATTTTACGCGCGGTAATTTTACCGGGCGCGCTCCTGATAGCATCCCCTTGCTGCCAGTGTGCCGCCGGCCTGCCACGCGCCAGCCAGCCGGCCAGCCCCATGTTTCAAGGTCCGCCAATTCACGTCCACATTATTTTTTTCCGCGCCCGGTCCGGTGCGGCCCGCGCGTTTATAGACAGCCGGGTCATTCCAATAAATTGTGAAAAAAGCCCGCGGCGCTGTGTGTGTGCCTACGTGTGCGGGTGTGTGTGTGTGTGCGCGGGCCGGCCCGGAGCTACGCAAGGGCTACGCACGTAGCACGCGCGTGTTCGGGGAGCCTTGTAGTGTGTCCGCCTGTCCCACCTGGTTGTAGCCGTGACGCGTGTGCAAGCCGTGCGCGGCACGAGTGAAAGGGAAAGGTCCTGAAAGGCCGTCACGCGAAGGCAGAGAGAGGGGCACGCACCCCGCGACACTGCGAGGCACTGCGTGGCACAGTGTGGGAACGCGCTGCGCACGCGGCGACGCGGCGCCCCGAGAGAGGCAGGAAGTGTGATACATAACGGATACGGCCGCCCCCGCCGAATAAAGGGCGAAACAACAAAAGGCAAACAGTAAAAAGGCGGTGGGACGGCGAGGACGACGAGGACGCGGCGCGCGGCGTAAACCTCGGAGAGGAGAGGCAGGGCTGCGCAGAGCTGGAGGCTGTTTGGATGCAGGGCTCCCGTCCCGGAGGCTAGGCGGCCGGGCCGTCAGGACGAGCACGGCTCGCAGTGAGGCCACCGGGATGTGACACGGCGGCGGCACGGCGGCACGGCGCGCGATCCTCCCAGCCTGGCTGCCGTGGCCGCCCGGCAACAACGAGGACGACAACACGAGAAACGGGGGCCGAAAGGCGGAAGGCGTCCGAATGGAAGCAGTGGAGGCACGCACCGCCAGCCCTGCGCCCTGCTCGAGGCCCTGCTCGAGGCCCTGCTCCTCCCCGCCACGCCACTGTAGTGCTCTGGGCGGCCATTGTGTGTGCGCTGACAGCGACAGCGCGCCGCCGTACGACAGAACCACATGAAATGACCGCAAAAATCGAGCCTGCCGCCAACTGTGGGAAATTTGCAGTCTCTCAAGGAAATGGGGAAAAAAATCGCAGGAGCCACGCCGCACAAAAAATAAAAAGAATTGATTTATTTTTTGGGGGCGATATGTTTTTGGCGCCGGAGTTGGAGAATTAATTTTTGTGGGTGCGCACCCGACCCCAGCCCCGCCCGCCACTGCCCCTCGCAGCCCCAAGCCACAGCGCCCGCCGACCGGGGCTGCCTGGCTGGCTGCCTGGCTGGCCCGATGGAATTCCTATCGGTGGCGGCGGCGGCCCCTCCAACAAGGGATCCAGATCCAGCCACCGCCACAAGTCAACGAGGGGATGCGGGAGATGCCTTGCCCACAGCGAGAGGGAGACAGGGAGAGCACGACGGGCTGCGGCGCTGCACCTCCACCGGGCATGCCGTCGGGGACGTCGGGGACGTCGGGGACGTCGGGGACGTGCGCGACGTCCCGGAAGGCGACGCCTCCTCGCCCCGCCCCGCCCCGCGCGCGCCAATCCAATTAATTATCCGGCAGGTCGACGACGGTGGCGGTGGCGCCGTTCGCATAAATACTTAACGCGGCGCCGCTGATTGAATAATCAGCAGCAGGAGCACGGACTGGCGGACGACGGCGAGCCGAGGCGGGCCCCAGCCGGCCGGCCGGCCAGAGAGCGTGGCGACGGCGACGCGGCGCGACACCCGACACCGTGCACGGCGTCCGCAGCGTCGCGTCGATCGCATTACGATTCGGCACGCGACACCGGCGAGAAGGACGAGAAGTCCCGCAAGACGCTACCACGGCACCGCCACGGCACCGCCACGGCACCGCCTGGGAACTTGCAGGGCGTCCCCCGCCGTCGCCCCGTCGCCCCGCCGCGCTGCCTGTGGTAATCCCTCGACACTGACCCGGAGGCAAGCCCCTCCGGTCCGGTCGCATCGCGCCTAGGCGAGGGCCTCGGCAAGGGCCTGGCAGAGCAGCTCGGCATCCAGGCGCCTCTACGCGCCTCTAGGCCCGGCCGAGGCCGCCAGGCGCCGCCAGGTGGGTCCGGATGCCTCGCGCGCCGCACGCCGCCACCCAGAGCACGGCTTCCCTGGGCTTCCCCCACAACACCCACGCTCCGCGACAGGCCGCCGATAACCTCTGCGAACGCCGCGACGCCGCCGTCGCGACGCCAATCCGTCGCCTTTTTGTCCGTCACGTGACGTGACGCGGACGTGACGCGGACGTGACGGGGACGAGGCGCGGCAATGACAGGCATTAGAGGGCCGCGCCGCGGCAGATCGAACCTCGAACCACCACACCAGGAAGCAGCGGTGCATTTTCCATCTGCGCCACCCTCATTCCCACACCCCTTCCCTCCCTCCCCCCTTTCGCCCCTTTCCCAAGGCTATCTCGCGACAAGCACCACGGGCGGGGGCGGGGCGGGGGCGGCGGGTGGAAGGGGCTTTCGCGACAGCTGTCGAGGCCCATGTGGGGGCGGGGGAGGGGAAGGGGGAGGGGGGCAGTCAAGACGACGTGACGACTCGGATTCGCCGAACGCGGCGAGGCGAAAAGGGGCGTGGCGGGGCGTGGCGGGACAAGAGGCAGAGAGAGCGGGCAGCAGCAGGACCAGACGGACACCCGTCTTGTCCGCCCGTCCCGGCCCGGCCCGGCCCGGCCCAACCGCGGCATATTTCCGCTCCAGAATGACCAACAAAAGCGGAGCGCGCACCACACACGCTGCACAGGGCACGCCGCGGCACGCGGCACGCACGCGCAGAGAAAGGGGTGTCGCTTCACTTCGCAAAGGGCCCAGAGGGCCGAGCGGGCCGCGCGGGGGCGGGGAGGGAAGCGAGGGAACGCTGGCCCAGCGGAGCAGCAGACAACGCCCCCTCCCCCCCCCCTCTCTTTCCCGGCTGCAGTCCGACGAACTGCCCCCCGAGGGGCCCAGCGGCCCCGGACACGTCCCGAACACCAGTTACACCCCCTATCTCACTCGGCGGCACGGCCGGCACGGCAGGAAGCACTGGGGCACGGCGAGCAAGGCCACGCACGTACGGGCGGCCCTCGGCCCAGCCGGGCAAGGGAACCGTAGGGAACCGCCACTGCAATATTTACGGAAATGATAACTGAGGCGATTCCGCTGCCATTCCACTCGCCCGCGAGCACTTACAACCCGAGTACAGCTCTCAAGGAGCGCTCGCAACAAATGGTCCGCCCGGAGCGGAACGGACTCCGGGAGGGACTCCGGCCCCAGCAGCAGCAGCCAGCAGGGTCGCCGCCAGACACACAAACTAAACTTTCGGGCGCGGCCGACTTTTTCATCGGGCGCGACAAACATTCCGGACTGCGCGCCAAGGGCGCCGCGCTGCCGGACATCCCCGCGGCGCTTCCAGGAAGGCGTGGCAGGGCCACTGCGAATCGGACTCACCTTCCCCAGCATGATGAGGCGAATGGTGAGGGTGACATTTTCGTCGGTAATCATCTGGTCCATCTCCATGGCTGACTGGTCCACCTCGAGGTCTGAAAGCAGAGCAGGGAGGGCGAGGTCAGGCACGGCAGCACTTCCAGCGTCCGCGGCGTCCGCGGCGTCCGCACTCCACGAGATGACACAAGGTTTCAGCGACGGACCGCGCGCGCCCGAGAGCCGAACGCCCAACGCCAGGGCCGCCAGGGGCACAATGCGCTCCCTCTGGGCCCGGCCTCTGGGCCCCGCAGTCCGGCAGAGTGAAAACGACAGTAAACAGAGACAGCGATAAGCGCCGATGGCGATATTGACGATAACGTCGGGCGGTCCAGAGTTCACAGCCTCACACACTAGCAGACAGCCCGCCGGGCCACGCATATCGAGGCATAAAAAAAATCGACAACAACAAAAAAAGTACCCTGTCAGACACGAGACTACAAAATAAAACCAAACAGACCGCCCATAAATCGAGACGCAGTAAGGGCGGATGTCTGTTTTCGCTCTGGCGCGCATTCGTAGATTTATGCAGGAAAACGAAAAAAATAAAAATCATCACTTGCACAAGCGGTCTGCTGTGGCACAACACTAGAACGCCCTCTTCGATGCACTGCAAAAACCGGGGTTGACACTCGGATTTTGGTCAGTACAGTCATACATACACGTCTGCACACAGGCCATGGTGCCGGCGGACGAAAGTACTCCCTCAGGCCCTTGAATTCACGACGACGACACGACGACACGCACACACTGACACAAACACGCACACACACACACACACGGCACGGGCGAGGGGCAGGACGACCTGCCGGGGCGGACGGGCGGGGCTGGACGAGGGCGAGGGACGACGGTTGCAAATGCACTGAGCCTGTCGCCGCGCGCCGCCTGCACTGGGGCCGCCAGACAGACAGACAGCAGACAGACAGACAGACAGACAGACCCACGGACGCACGCGGACGGGCCGCCGGGCGGAGGGCTTAGCCCAGGTACGGGAAGTCCCCTAGTCCCCTCGCCCGCGGCGGCGACCGTACGTCCTGCCCTGCCCCCTTCTCCTGCACTGCCCGTCCTTAGTGTCCGTAGTGCCCTGCTGGCCGTATCGGCATGGCCCAGGCCTGGCCCAGGCCACAGCCAGTCAAGGAGCGGTGCAACCCACAAACAGTGCGCCACCGCCACCGAGCGAAAACCAAATGGACCGACCAACAACTGCGTCTCGCCGGTACGTTGGGCAAGGCAGCGCGGTTTCCTGCGCTCACGGCGCAGGTTCGCGTCATCCGTGGCGCGGTGCGCGTGCGCGGTGCGCGGACGGCGAGAGGCGGGCGAACGAGGGGCGGGGTCGCGCGGCACACCGTAGTGGAGCCACTCTCGACGTTCTCCAGCTTCTCCAGGAAGGCGCCCCGAGCCGGGCCGGGACTCGAGGCAAGCTCAGCGAGCGGAGCATGGAGCGGAGGGCGGGGCCGGAGGGGCCGGCGGCGCTGCGACTCGACTCGTGCATCCGCCCCGATCCGCCCCATCCGCCCATCCACCGCGGAAAGCGGCAAAGCGCAAACAAGCACACCACTGCCAGGCGTCGCGTCGCGGAGCCGAACGCCACCGAACCGAACCGACCCGCAGTCGAGTCAGAAAGCGCGCGCGCACACGGCGGCCTTTCGGGGCACTCGTCTCGAGGGTGGGTGCGCGCTGGACGCGGAAGTGCGAGAGAGACAGACGGCGCTGCTTCGCTGCTTTACGCGTGTGGTGCCCTTGCCCGGCTTGCCGCGGCGCCGCACACACTGACTCAGCGGCCGGGAGGGAGGGGGAGGGAGGGAGGCCCCAAAACGCGCAGCGTCCACACCGGCCACCGGCATGACTCAAAACACGACCGCCAGGCACCGCCAGGCCAGCAAATTGTAAACGTCAGCCCCGGGCGGCCCTGGCCCTGGCGGCCCTGGCGGCCTGACGCAGTGAAACGCAGTGAAACCACTCGCCGCGCCACGCCGCGCCGCGGGCCCGGGCAGAGCGCGGGCGGACACCTCGGTCTGGGCCTCGGTCTGGGCAGCGCGCCGGCCGGCCACCAACTTTGAAAATTTGCCAACACTCTGTGAGCGAGGAGGGAGCGAGAGAGAGAGTTTCTGTTTGTTGTTGCCGGCGGGCCCATCCCGTCCCGTCCTGAATTAGTCATTCGCCGTGATTATGAGTCGCTTGCCGTCTGACACCCTCCCCTCCCCTCCCCGCGCCAAACTTTACCCCTCCCCTCCCCCGCCGCTGCCAGCAGGGGGTGCAGGGCTCGGCGGGGCTTGTCCGCCGCGCGGCGTGCGCCGTTTTCCCCGATGCAAAATTCATACGAGCATTGGGTCGAACGGCGTTCCGGCAGCCATTCAGAGTGGAGGCAGTCCAGGCAGTCCAGGCAGTCGGCCGGAGTAAGTAGAGCAAACCGAGCGCGGCAACGCGGCCAACGCGGCCGCCATCCCGTCCGACTCCCGGCACTCCGTCATCGGGGGCCTCGTTCCATTCCGCAGGACCAAAGACAAAGGCGATGATCGGAATCTCTGACTGATTCCGAGAGTCGTCTACGTCGCTCTGCCTTTCTCGCACCCGCCCTATTAATTAGAGAGCGAGAGAGACAGAGCGACGACTCGCGGAAGCAGTCTGCTGGCCCGGGAGCGCGTCAAGTACGGCGTCACCGAGCACGCGGCACGCTCGGTGCGCACCGCGCCAAGCCGAGAACGAGAACCCCCGCGCAGGCAGGGGCCGCGGTAGGCCGCCCGCTCGCGGCGGAGCGCTGCGGGCCTGCCCGCCTGCAAGGCGCTCCGCTCCACGCTCCGACGCCCGGCCGGCCCACCACCAGGCCGCGTGCACACCACTCGGGGCGCACTCGGCGTGCCCACGAACCCGGCGGGGTACTCCACAGGGGCGCAACGGCACTGGGAAAAAAGGGAGGACGGCGAGGCGGAAGGAGGGTGGCGAGGTGTGTGGAGAAATCCTCATCAAGAGCGCTGCGCCGCGCGGCCGCGTCGAGGGTTGATAAGGGAGGGCTTCGGCACCACCGCCCCGCCACTCGAGACTCGGGCAGGGGGTCGGTGGGCCCTCGCCGTTCCCCACCGGTCCAAACACATTAAAATTCAACGGGGGGAGACGCCGCCCGCACGGCGAGGGGGTGGGGTGGGGGTGGGGGGTCAACACGCGGCAATAGCACTCCGCGCCGCGCTCAAGGATCCCCAGACAGACAATGCGGGGCCTTCAAGTCGCATCAGTGCGGCGAGGGAGAGGGAGCGAGAGGGAAAAAGTAAAAGGCAAAGGAAAAGCCAGCGACCCGGACGCGGCAGCGTCTTATCGGGGAAAATGCGCCGCGGAGAGTGGCTGGCTGGCTGGCTGGCTGGCTGTCTGTTGGCTGGGTGCGCGAACTGGGCGAACTGCGAACCCCCGCGGAGGCCCTTTTCTATCCGCTCGAGGTAATCGAAGCAATTTAGCGCGCGGAATGTGGCGCCCCGGCCAATCAACCCTCATGAGGCCCCATTTAGAGCGGGACGGGGCGGGGCGGGGCGGGGAGGTCTCGGACTCACCTAACGAGCCGAGGAGCCAATAATAGCAGTCATGCGGACACATTGGCCGTCCACCAAGTGAGAGAGAGCCCCGGCCTGCCCCGGTCTGCCTCGCTGTATCGCGGCCGGCGGGATTCAAAGCCCCCTCCCCCTTCGTCGATTCCTGATGGCCGAGAAAAGGGATGGACCGCGGCGAGCCCCGCCCCCTTCAAGTGGCCCCTCACCGCGCCGCGGCGGACGGGCGGACACGGCGGCCGATAGGGCGGGCCGCGCCAGCCGCGCCAGGCAGAGGCACGCCAGCCGGCTGCTTCCGAACGGGTCTCTCTCGCACCTCTGGGGGACCCCCCATGAGTGCGAGAGAGAGAGAACCTCCCCATCGGAATCAACCTACGGCCGCCGTGTCCGCGACAGCGGAGACAGCGAGGCCGCGGAATCAAATGGACTGACGTGGAATGAACACGACCAGTCCATCCGCGGCGGTCCGTCGGTCCGTCCGTCTGTCCGTCCGTCGGGGAGGCAGAGAGGCCAGGTCGAATTGGCTGCCACTGACGAGGCGGCCGGGAAGTGCAGAGGTACACCACACCTCGGCAGGTCGGCGGGGCAGCCAAGTCGAGGCGAGGCGAGGCAGGGGAGAACGGAGACGAGACACGCAATCTCGCGCCGTTCCAATGGCATTAGCGGGACGGGCCACGGCACGCCCCGGCCCGGCCTGGCCCGGCCACGGGGGGAGAGGGGAGGCACCACCCGCACCACCCCTCACCTTTCTTCTACCCCTTACATTTTGGAGCCAACTCAATTTGAGGACCTTTTAGCAGTTGGTCGCCGCAGAGTGCGCGCCGGAGCGTGCTGGCGGGGCGGGGCGGGGCGGGGCGGGGCGTGCCGTGGCCCCGATCCCTCAGACTCGCCCCCGGGACTCGGTACGGAGACACTTGAGGCCCACACCCCACACCTCCCACTGCCGCGGTGGAAGTTGGCCGGGGTGCCGGCCGCCCGCCCCGCCCGCTCCAGTGATTCGCACTTGAGAGTTTGTTACAGGCAAGGCAGGTCGATCCCTGGCCGGGCCGGCGCTGCTGGCGCGGCGCGCGCCGCCACAGCGCCACTCAGCGTCCCGGCGGGGAGGCAGGGCCGGGCAGGGCCCCGCTGGCCCCGCTACTCAAAGGCGGCCTCCATGTCCGCACGCACGGGGCCGGCAAAGGAGGAGTCCGCAAACCGGCCAAGAAAAAGTAATCCATACCAAAACTTTCCGGGGCGGCGTAGCGCGGCGCGCATATGGAGAGCTCGTGACCCAGACACGCGCGCGGGCCGCGCGCATGGTGACGCCATACCATAAATTGGCAAGTTATGCAAATTAATTCAGCAAACAACATGTTGAGAACTTCGGCGAATGTATAAAGAGTGATGCCTCCCCGGAGCCTGGCCGGGCTGGCCGCAGTGCAGCGCGGCCAACACGCGCTACACCAGAAAGCATCGGCCGTGTACCAGTGTACCGCCACTGCACTGCACGGCGACGGCGCGGCCAGGCGCGGCCGTGGCGGCAATGC